ACTTAGTGTACAAATCAAAAAATCAATGGAAAATCTTCAAACAACTGATAATTACCTTGTAACCACTGTCCCAAAGCTCTTTCAATTTTGGAACAACTTCTGGATAGAGAATTCTGAAATGAGGAATAGATCTTTGAAACAGCTGTATACATATATCTTAATAGATGTGTTAGTGTGTAGTATCTCTGTATATTTTTATAAGTTGTGCTGTATTTTGATGAGCCTGTAGGGCGAGTCAAAATACAAACAATGAGTAAAAATGTAAAGCGATACTACACACCAGAACATTTAATAAGAGATTTATTATCAAACTGCTGTAGCCAATAAATTTATCAATGAAATAAGGAGAGTGTGACAGTTTGGTGTGTTCATGCCAACCTGTACAACAAACAGATAACTGTACAATATCGCTGTATATTTGTACTGTTATTTGGACGGTATTTGCTGCAGTCGGATAATAAATCAGGATATTGACAATATTTGTTGGCTTCACGTGAACGTGAATATTTGGGGGGGATGCTTGTCTTTTCCCTATCAGCTTTTCCTTACCCTGCGAGTCAAGAGATTCCCCTCTCTTTCTGCTCGGTGAGAGACAAGAGGGAACCTCTACTCACAACTGTTCGATTTCCTATTGAGCATGCCCAAAATACATCAGCATGTCCCATGTGTTGTGCTATGTCATGGGAAACATTTATAGGCAATCAAATTTTTAGTCATTTCCGGATCTTTCCAGATCAGTAGTGGTGAATTACTTGAATTCTGGCTTTTCCAGACCACGCTGTTCAGTGTGCGATTTGCAACCTGCAAGAGCTGTAGATAAACAATTTTTTTTGGAATAATTACAAAATGTTAAAAGCTTAATAACCTGCCTATCAACTATCACATCATGGTCCTTTGATAATGAACAGCTAGTTGTAAATATGAATTAATGTACCGCAATAGTTTCTGGAACTGGGCAAACAAAAACTAGTACTTTTATTTATTCATCCCTGGTTGTGGACGGTGGCCGATCATAGGATTGAACGATTGTGAGCAAAGGTTCCCTCTCATCTCTAACCCCAAGCAAAAAGAGAAGGGAATCTCTCTCACACAGGGTAGCTATTTCTGAGTCACACACATGAGATTTTTATCCTGGGAGAGCTAGGATTTTCGAAGAGGACCTAATCCCTTTTCGAAAGACATCCAAAACTTTCTGAGGATGTTTTAAAGATCTCCAAAGTACCTACCACATTACCCATTCTAAGTCCCAGGATGTGTTTCACCAAAATTAAAATAATCACTAGTTTGAACTTTACTTAATACACACTTTTCTTTTATTCCATTGGTTTGAGTTTACATATTTAGAGTCGGTTAAGGCAGTAACAGCTTAATGTTTCAACTCTGCATGAGACTTTGGTTTGTAGGCAGGAATACACAGGATCAACATTTTTGACCTGCAGTTGTGAGACTCACGCCTAATCATAAATGCGTGAAACTCGGCAGGTACATTGCCTGAAGAGCAGGCTTTTAGCAAGATGGGCATGCAGACGTCCTGTGGACAGCCACTTATTAAAGAAAATCCTTTTATTTTTCATGTGTTGCCCAATAAATTGTTTAGTTGAGCACGCCCTATATAGCACATTTTGGACGGTCACTTTTCAAATCCTGGCTAAAAGCCTGATGATGAGGCAGCATTAACAAAGCACTAGAATTTGTGATATCTTTAGGGAAGTAATTTGTGAGGAGATAAGCTGAACAGGACTACAGCAATTAGGGTCTGGTTAGAGCAACATCAACAGGGAATGCAGACTCTCTATGCAATAAGGGCTGTGCACAGGTGTCCAGAAAAATAAACCAGGAAATTAAGTACTTAACAAGCAATCTGTACAATATACAGTGCAGGTCTTACGCATTATTATCCTAGACCATTGTAAGATTGTTAAAGAGGAATCTTGCTCACCTCCAATCTGTTATTGATGAAGAAAACACCTTCCCAGACTGTGTGGTAATAAGAGTTCTGTCAAGATCAAAACCTGCAATCTAGAGATTCCAATCATACTGTTCTAGTTTTATCATGCCAATGTGTAATGCTGAGGTAAATAAGCAGAGAATTTTTGTAATTATAACATAAGAGAAGTTTACAGAGAAGCATAAGGTGAAGCCAAGAGGTTCTCCATGCACTTCTCAAGTGTATTTAAATATAACATGTATATAACTCAAGATTTAGATGAAACAAGTTTGCTATTTCCTATTTGAAATGTTTAAGAAACTGGTTTGAAAAATAATACCAAAATCCAATTTAAACCACATCGTATATATCTACACAAATAGATCACATAAAACTGAAAAATGACAAAAAAAAAAACAGACGGACACTCTAACCCCGAGACGAAAAATGAGAAATAACTGCACAGGTTTAAATTTTCTTTTTGCACTTGGTATGAAATGTTGGAGCTAGAACCCCTTAACAGTAGAACTTAAAAGCTGTTATAAATACCTTTGATCTTCCCTCTATTCCTTTACTTGTAAAAATAATAAGCTTTCCTTCTATATTTTCCCAACAATCTTCAAAAGCAAGAGAACTTTCCTGCTTGGAAACCTCTTGATCTTGTTTTTGATTCTGCTGTATTTTTTCAACCATCTCTTGGCCAAATTCTCGGCGTATATCCTCCAGGTCTTCTTGCGATAGATTGTCATCATCTGAGTCACTTAAGGTATCACAACGAGCTTTCTTTGCTCTTGGTTCTTCATCAGGATCATCTTTTTCAAAAGATGTTGAAGTGAAGTGAATAAAATAACGATAGCTGTCTCCAAGGAGACAAAACATTCCTCCAGGTCCAAGGGATGCTGAGTCCCCTTTGTTCAGATTTACACCTCCAACACAGCTTGAAGTATTTCCTAGCTGAAGGAAAAAAAAATATATTAAAAAGCAAAACCTAACTTGTGGAAGGCTCAGTAAACATATGGCTAGTTTGGTAAGTTTAGATCGAGTGGTCCAGGTTCAAGCCCTGGCTGGGGACATTGCACTGTGTTCTTGGGCAAGGTACTTTACTCTCTCAATGATGTCTTATCTTTAGTCTAAATACATGACCCCTCCAGCTCTGCTGATTATGCCATTTTGTTTAAATAGAGAAATAGAGATATTCAGTTCAATTCAGTTCAGCATTCTCACCGTACATCTCTCCACTCAGATGTATAAATGGGATCTGGTGAATTTAATGCTGGAGGTAGCCCTGCAATGGACTAGCACCACTGGGTGCTACAGATATCGGGATAAGCTCCAGCATTATGGACCACTTGGCCCAATACAGACTTCAAATTAAGTGAAATAAATGTTATTGCTATACCTCCAACCCAAATACGTTTTCCGGTTGGAGAAGATCATGTCATGTGTCATAGGTCAAAACTCACTAACTCCCTAGCGTGAACAAAATTCACCAACTCCCAAGGGAAAAAACAACTTGAACTGCCATGTGATCAGGTTGTGCACCTTGAAACTGCAGAAATTTGTTGTGCTAGCTGGCATCAAGCAAATAATTTTTTTCCAGTTTTTTCTCTTTTCTGGTTGGGAGGTATAACAAAACACTCAATGAATGGCCCCACGGGAAACAGTGAGTTTTGTTTCCCCTCAACCTCATTGTTGAGGTTCTTGGAGAAAAAAACCTCACTGTTTCCCTTGGGGTCAGTCATTAAGTTCTTAATGATCCACAAATAAATTAAGCTGCCAATAATCCTCCTTGGGATTTTTATAATACATTGTACAATTCTGGTCCATATTCCTTGGAACATTTCACCCTGTACAGTACCGCTTTGTTATGCCTTGGTTTCAACATTTAAGCAGATCAAACAAAATTGAAAAGGGGTGCAGAGTTTCCAAAATGGGAAATGTTTCGAAGTTTACAAGCAGAACTGTAGATTCAAAAGCTTATTGTCTTCAGTTTGACTATGCCACAACAGCAAAAATGCTTACCTGAGTAACTTGTACTTCCTTTTCCAGATAATTTGCAGTAAGCTGAACTGTAAATGAATTCAATAAAAGCCTGCCTGGTTAAATTCTCAATTCACAAAGGTACTTAGGAAAACACAAAGACAGGGCAACCTAATTACACAAGGGGAGATCAAGAACATTGAGATAGAGGGGGCCAAAGAAATTTTGATGTGCAACCCCTCTCCCTATCAACCCAACACAACAGAATGTAAAATTTTCCTGGAAATGCTGCTTATAGGGTTCTGGGACCATTAGTTTTATGACCAAAACTTAAGGCTTCAGAAAACGAACTTAGGCAAAAAACGAAGCCACAGCCCCCTGCCCCACCCCCTCAGAATCCACTCCTGCTTAAGTAAAGAAGGCATCATTCAGTGTGTCTTGACAGACAATGGAAAACCCAATCAAGTGCTGTCGAGCCATTTACAACTTTAGACCCATTCTAAAACAATATGATTCATCTCCACAGTTGATGCCAATGAAACGCAAGGGATGACCTGTTGTTTCAAGTAGACCAGACCCTGTTAGCTTGAGCATATTATTATACGTTGAACTCACTATCTCTTTTCTGATTGGCCGAAAGAATACATGGAATTTTCGAAATCAGCACCTGTGACGTCTTCTAGCTGCAGATTATACAATAATCATGTCAAGGACACTCAAGGTCACGGGTAATCATGCCATGTATGACAGCCGTGTATGATTTGTGAGGGTAATCATGTCAGGTTTGCACGCTTTGTGTTGCTTGCCTTCAGCGAACAAGCAAAAACATAATTTCCATTTTTTTCTTTTTTTGTTCAATGTATAATAAAATAATTATTGGATGAGGTATTTGTGATATCCAGAATAATCAAGGTCTTAGTAAGGGTTATCAGCCTCAGCCTTTAGCTTCACCTGATAACCCCTACCTCGACCTTGATTATTTTGGATATCACAAAAACCTCATCCAATAACTGTTTATTACTACGGAGAGTGCAACCACTTAGTTGAAGTGTACACAGAACATTTTTCAAATCATGCTCTGAATACCCTCATGAACAGGCAGAAAGCTTGTCAATAAACAATTATGTTTGGCATGTGCATGTGAGCCTTTTAATAATTATTAGTGTGATGGTTTCAGTTTAGCCAGTATTTCAGGGGCCTGTTTCTCGAAAACCCTGGAAACTTTTGGGGCCTACAAAGCTATTTTTAGTTAATCTGTATCTAAAAAAAGAAGGTGTGTATGCCTGAAACTTCTTGTATGAAGGGAACTTCTGTTCATATTAAGAATATGTAAATAGAACAGCTCTGTAATGATAAGGTTTGAGATTTTGCAACGGCTTTCCAAGTACGAAAACTTTTTGGGACCATCGAGAAACAGGCCTCAGGTCCAGCAGGTACATTTTGCAGGTTGAAATGACTTGTTTATTTAAGTTGAAGTCAAATAAATCCCAGTACAAAGACTAACTGCTAGCAACCTAAGCTAATTTAGGCTAACCGGAGTGCTAATCAGGCTAACTGAAGTGCTAAGTAGACTCCTGCCGGCTTAAAAGTCGATTTTTCCACCTGCAACCTGAAAAACATATCGGCCCCCAGGAGGTCCCTACAGAGAAGGTCAAAATCCGGACGCTGACATGAACGCGTGCATGTACAAAACGTAAGGGATTTCCCTCAAACTAAGCTTGAGAGCAAAATAAATGCTCCTTTTCTTTTAACCAAGCACAGTGACCCCCACTTTTTTTTCATAATTTCAATCAGAACAATATCCTCAATAACTGAGGAAAAAATCAGCAGAAATCTATGGCGTCTTTTTTGGCAAATGAAATAAACACTAAAGAGGGAGACATAACGGGCCCAATAGCGCATGTCCAAATTATCTTTCCTTTAAAGGATAAAAAAATGCAGGGTATTTGAAGACATTTTTTCTGGGATGTAGATAACTAAACAATCAAAGAAAGTCAAACCCTGTGTGATATAACGCGCTGCATTGAAAAATAATTAGCTTTTATTAACTGAGCTGGAGGTCTGTATGGGAGAATCTTGACCGAGGTCGTGAGTACAGACCGAACGCAGAGGTCTGTACACACGACCGAGGTCAAGATTCTCCCATACAGACCGACTTAGCTCGGTTAATAAGATGTTTATTATATGGCAAAGAAGAAAA